GTAAATGAGAGGAAAAACACTTAAAAGATAATGGCTTCTTCAATCTCTCTGTCAAAGTGACTTCACTGAATGCTCCTTTTTATTAAGACTCTTTCAGCTCAGCTCTGTATTGTCAAGTTTTAATGCCCTTTCAAACTGAGTAATAATCCTTTCAGAAAACATGCACAATTTACTGTGCAAAATGCTATTTAGTGCAAGTCAAATGATTAGAATACGTCCCAAATTTTCAGTCCTAGTTGTGATCCTGAACAACAGTGGTGGAAAATATTTTGCCCAGAAGAGCTGTTTATCTCTGTCCCTTCTTAACAGCATTTCCCAAAATAGTAAATCATATCCTGCAGCTTTTTTAGTTGCTTCAGGAATACTCATTTGCTAAACCCTATTCTCTATGTCAAAGTTCTCATTTTGAAACTTCTCAACTGAAGAATATAAAAGAAGATAGGAGAAAAACTAAAATGTGCAATCGGAACAGTGTCAAAACAAAAGGCTGTGTTGACTCATCTCCATGACTGAAGCTAGTTTATTTCATATAATCTCTCAAGTAATAGTTACGATTGAATGGTAAAAGTAGACACACACTATGGGAACTATTACAATGTAACTACTTGAAGGGAAGCTATCACTGAAACCTTAGGCTTACTGAAAAATCACTGAGGTACATTTGTCTTTCCTTAACAAGGAAGATGTCAAAATAGGTAATTATAGAAATGCTAGATATAGTTTGAAAAGAAGTTTCTTTTTATAATGTTTCAACTTCTACCCACCTGCACAGTTCAGAAGACACTGAGTTTTGTTACTGCTTAATGAGTAACGCATGAGAAAAGCAGTCATTCACTGTAGTATTTCCTATTACAAACTACCTTCATACTCCTTACACCAGTTAAAGAAACACAAAACTCCATTTTGCTTCCCACAAAATATTCAATATACAAACATATGCGCATACAAAGAAAGATACAGTGAGGATTTAACCTGTGAATACCTCTATCTACGCTATATATGGACAACAAAAAAAAGAGGCCTCCAGCATACAGAGAATTTACTTTCAGATCCGTATTCACAGAACAGTTTTTCTGTAGGTACTCATGTGCCCATTGTGAACTATCACACTGGCAGGTTTAGAGAACTGCTTTCCTCTCCATGTCAGTTTCGCTAGCATTGCCACAAGAAGTTTCTCTGGTTTTAATGCTCACATACTCCGGTACTACAAGATTGCCTGTAACTTCACTTCTGTCCTCATTGTACTAGAAAGTTAGGAGCACAGCTGAGTTATTCGGGCACCCCCAGGACATTATCAGAAGTAGTGCACAGCTGCAAGGTTTGTTATGGGGGAAAAAAGGGGTTTGCATTGCTAAATACATTAAATGTATTAAATTAACTGAAATACATTTGTGTTTCATTTTAATAGACCCTGTCAATCTGACAGTAAATCTGTCAGAAAATGACAGAAATCTGACAGTAAATCTGACGCTGAAATAAGAAGTATTAAGCTTGTAAGCTACAAATAAGAAAAGCTTAAAAAATGCACTATATACTGGATATTTTTAAGGTTAGCTACATCCTTAAAAATGCGCCTGTTGGTTCCTTAATGCCAGGCTTTGAAGCTGAAGATTCAGTGTGTCTCTTACACAGGATATCTAAGCTAATTTTAGTAATATTACTCTCTCTACCTATATGAGGAAAGACTTGGCTATGTGTCTGATATAAATACATATTTTATTGATATACTTAAAAAAAAATATATATATATTAATGATCATATGAAGATGAGTGACAGAGAGTCTCTCTCTATCAAGATAGGCACCAAAAATGAAGCTTATGCTAAGTATCTTATGCATCCAGCATCTCAGGATCTGCATCAACAGAGACTACCATTTCATTACCTTTTTAATATCTATTTATATTTTAATACCTATTTAATATAAAATATAATATATATAATTTATATATATTATATATAAAAATATATCTCAAATTTTATATAAATTTATATAAAATATAAATTTTATATAAAATATAAATATCTAATGAGTGAAAGAGATGTAGAATGCTTATGAATGTCATGAAAATTGCTCTATCAACAAAGTCTTGAGAAGTTCTTGTCAGCAGATCTTTGCTTGGAATTCATTAAGGTACATAAAAAGCCAGATCACTCTTACAGGTATTACACTGTTCAACATCTTTTAAATATGGAGAGTTCCAGTTTGGTGAATGGAACAGCAACAGGAGACCAAAAAGAGAGTCCACAGGAGGATTTTTGCATTTTTTTTTCCCATGCAACTGAGACATGCCAAATACAAAACACTAAGATGCCATGTTTTAAGTCAGAAGTGAAATCTGTAGACAGAATAAAAATGGTGTCATGAGCTCACCATGCTGGCCAGCATAAATAAGGGCAACTCACATTCGCCCTCACTTCAGTGACTGATGTAATGATTCTGAGCCACATTTCCTTGGCTTACAAAATTCACTGGTTCCCAGGAGGTGCTTGCTGGTGCTATCACAGTAAGATGTATTCAGCTGATTTGTGAAGCTTCACAATATTTCCCAAGTTTTATAATAGACCTCTCCAAGAGATCTGAATGTACAAGCATTTTGGCAACCTCTATCACCCACAGCTGAGAGCTGAATAAAAGATAAATATGTAAGAAAAAAGAAAAACACCACAAAATACTACATGGGGATAGTAGGCAAACAGATCAAAGAAGTGGAACAGAAATTGTAATAAAGCTTAACATAAAGCTCAATATACAATATAAATTAAAAAAAAGGAGGTAGGCTAAAAAAAAAAAAGACAATCATAAAAAAAGAATTGTAATATTTTTCTGTGGTGTTACAATGTGATGTTGACAGTAAAATGTCATTAAGGCACAAAACAGAAATGGCCTAGTCCCAAGAGAAATACGTAAAAGAACAAGAAGATTTGTTATACATAGATTCAACAAGAAACATGGTCAAAAATATTCCCTGGTTCCACAGCTTAGAAACAGCAGTTTACCATATCAGCATTACTGTCAAAATGGGAATATAATGCACAATACCTACCCACAAATTGTGTACCTAAAGCACTAGAGCCAGTCAGTTCTACATATGACACCAAATAGTATTCTGTATGCACTTCACCACTACCTTTACAATTACATTGTGATACAACAGTTTCTAACCAAAGAGGAAAGTAGAACACGCATGTCCCCCCATACTAATACAGAAAAAAAAAATAAGCTGTGCATCACATTTAAAAAGCACTGCAAATTTTTAGCAAGAATTTTTAACATATGTGTATTTGAACTAGCTTCCCTTATACAGGACAAAATCAAACAAACAAACAAAAAAAAAACAATCCACATTGGAGATTTTGTGAAAGAAAAGGTAACTGCTATTCAAATTGCTGGTATAATACTTCTGCTCTGATAAGGACAATGCACAGCCCTGCAGGTAAAATACCTAACGGCTAAATAGCTTTTCAGATCTATTAATTCATGGACTGAAGGTACAAGCAGCCCTGTTAACTCTGCATCACTATTCCCACTAGTCTTTCAGCCTCCATAGATTGCTTCGTTCTGGGACGTAAAATATTCAGAACACCATTGATCCACAGTTCTCTCACCTATACAGACTCCATCTCTACATGAGATGAGAACAACAGCCCCAGTGCCAGAAGGAGCTTTACTGTACAAATTCTAAACTTAGGGCTGCCCATGTTCTCTGGAGTAGGTTAATCTCTGGATGATTAAGAGTTTGGCTCTTGGAAATGATAGCATAAAATGCATGAAACACCTCATGCCTTCAAGTATCACATGATGTGATGCTTTCAACACAAATGTTCTAGGCATACAGTACACTTGGGACATGGCCACTTAAAAGAGCAGTCCGAGCTTAGATGGAATGCTTTCTGAGGTATCCCTTTTGCACAAAAAATTAGGATTAGGAGGGAGGGAAAAAAAGTTTGTGGGTTTTCTTTTTAGGTGTATTAATTCTTCTCTGGGTCCCATCGTTTGAGGGTAAATTTAACATTTTCTTCCATTCACGCATGCAGCGTAGCCCTTATCTCCGCAACCTCAGAGGCAAAGGGCAAAAAAAGGCACAAACAGTTGAAAAGCTTGAAGTTGCATGGGAGCTATGGCTTGTAAATATCATATGAAAAGCATCTCAAACTCATCCTAATGTACAAGTAGGCAGAACAACATTTCACAATCGATGCATTTCAGAAGACCCAAGTGACCAAAGCTTTGGTCAAAGCAATTATTCTTATTGACCTAAGTCAAGTTTATGTCCCTCTGGCTGTTAGTTTGAATCTTCTGTAGTAACCCACACTTTGCCGACTCAATCACTCCTAGCTAACACTTACAACTTACAGTGCAAGCCCAGGGTACGAAGTGGAAATGTGTGCATATGTTTGCATACACGGACAAGAAGCCAAATTCATTCTACTCTTTACAAAGTCATTAGCATTAAAATTAGAGGATATTTTGCTTCTTTGTTCTACTAGAAACCACTGAGAGAAAAAATCATGGCTGCAACCCCCCCATCTCATTAGCAATGTACTATTTTAATGCAGTCTGTTTGCTTGTATTGCTGGCATCTGAATTTGAACCCCGCATTTTAATGTCAGCTACCTTGAAAAAAAGGTTGCATTAATACACAGAGGACCTGTCCTAAAAATTCACAGCAGTAATTTGAGAATTGGTGTAATTAAAAAAAAAAAAAAACAACCAAAAAAAACCCTCTTGAATAAACATGACTATCTTAAAGACTCTAATTTCAAATAAATAAAAGAAACAAAGAACAGAATATTGGGGGTTTTATTTCCATGTATTTTTCATTTTCCTAAGTATATACATCAAGACTTAATGTTATTTCTTAAATTAGGCAAGCAACACTATCTTCTCACCACAAAGCAACAAGTTACTGGACAAGTAAGAACAAAAAAGTCCACTGTAAAAGAATTACTGTAGTTTTAACTGTCACAATTGAAAATCTAAAGACAATTCATCTCTTACCTCAATGGTGGGTGGATCCTTTCTTTTTTTTCTTATCCAAGCTGCAAAAGAAATAAAAATCAATTGGATATTTCAAAGATAACAGACAGTATTACAACTCAAAATTATATTGGCTTCGTAATAGAAAGCAAACATTTATATAAAAATTTGCCACAGCACAGCAAGCCAAAACAACATTTCCCAAAGTATCAAGCCCCAATATGCTATGTCCCATGTCAATACTTTCAGCTATCATAGAAGAAAAAAAACATCTTCCTGTTATGAGAGCTTGAGCACAGCTTACACACTACCCAGAATGGCAGAACAGGGCTTTAGACCCAGCCTTCTGTTGAGCTCGCTACAGAGAAAAGCAGAGTTTCACCCTGAGAAAACGTGAAAGTATGAAAAGCTTTAGGCTACTCTGGAGAAAAACAACCCCTATATATGCCTCAGGCTCTGTTAAAGCTTAAAAAGCTCTCATAGACATTAGCGTTGACTAAGTTCTTTCATGGGATGCAAAATATAGCCATAAATCTGCACAAGCTCTATCTGCCTAGTCTCAGATAGGCTGCAAGGTTTTACCTGTTGCACCAAAGGGAAGGTACAAAATAACAGAGGAAAGAAAAGATGCTCCCTCCATCTCAGCAAATTCATGGAAGGGACAGCAGTAGAATTAAAGCAGTGGCAGTGTTGGTTGTCCTGTGATTTTGGTTTCCCATTACGAACTATAATCAACAGCTGCATGTCTGCTCCTACCATGAACTGCCTGTCAGTGCAGAGCTGACTGGAAGCAACAATCCAAGGGGATTTCATTGCAGACAGAAAAGTGGTACCATGTCCAATCTTTCTTCATTCAGCCAATGAATTATTACAGAGGGCTCCAACTCTTACAGAAATTGTTAGATGAACAAATTCCCTGACTGTGAACAAGTCAACATGCATCTCTCTTCAAAAGTACCTCTACCAAATGCAATATTTTCTCAAAACTGTTGAATTCACAGAACTGCTAGGTGCCAGTTAGCATATTCTGTAGACATTTTATAGACATTTTGATTTTTTTCCCCATTTCTACTTTTTAGATGAATTTGTAGAAGCATGCAAATAGCAGCGAGCAGATGGACAAATATTAAGAAAGCAGATAAAAGGCACAATGTTCTTCTATATTTTTGGATAAAAGTTTATCATGCTTGAAAATTAGAATAAAAATGCCATTTTCACTATCACACATTATCACTCACACACTGTATTCCTGGTCATTTCTTTCAGAAATGCTATTAAAATGGATTATTTCAAATTTTAATCTTCCAGTTCCACTGGATTTTGAGGGGAACTGCAAATCAATCAAGCAGCAAGCTCAAAGAGCTAACAGCTGCATGGAGCCACAATTTCACCTTACTACTGAAAATGCAATCACCCATACAATGAACTAGCACTACTCTGCTTCAGCAACATGACAAAGTTGATTTTAGGAGGAATAGCTTAAAATTAATGTAAGAATGGAATTAAAGCAGGGAAAATGTCATTACACAGCTTAGAAATCAGTTGCCATGGCAAAGCCAATAGCTCTAATTCAAGGTTAATGATAAAATAATCTTCAATTACATGAAATTGTTTGTTTCTTGTCCATCAGATGACAATTTCTGAAACATATTTTCTTAAAATTATCATGCATATATACTTATGAATATCAATACCTGTCAACTCAACAGTCTTTTAGTCCTAACAAAGTTAAGACCTATATACGCAACTGGGGGGAAGTGTCTGAGTACTGAAAGCAACACCAAACCTTCTGCAAAAGCTTTATGTTACTAGAAAGCAAAACCAGCCCATTACTTTAGTTACAACAAGATGACTTTCTCTTTAATTCTGTAGAATTAGAAAAACATTCTGCATGTATTTGTAGCACTTACAAGCACTTTAACTTTACGAGAATTTCCAAATACCAAATCTGACAAGACGTGCACCTAAGCTGGTATGCTGACAGTAATAATGTTATTAGAGAAAATCATAGCACAAAAGTCTTTCCTCCTGAAAAAAATATCATCACTGTTCATATTTATCAACAGTTCTAATCACATGCAGAAAAGCTAGAAAGTGCTAGAAATATCAAGTACCAAGAAGTATGTTTAAAAGATGCAGTTGGGAAAAATGGAAAAGAAGTAGCTTAAAATGCTTGGTGAAAACTGAAGTGTGAGGATTACTTTCCATGAAGTATCATCTTCTTTCCTTTCTGTGCCTCATTTATTTGTCACGTGGATGTAATTTGTTACAATCCCCCTGGTCTCAATTTTACTGCTCTCAGCACCTAAAAATGACTTCATTTTGTTGAAATTGCCAGTATTTTCTTAAAACGCAAACATTTTCACAGCTGCATCCTAATTTCAACTGGTTACAACTTAGTAATTCTTAAAAATAACCTTAAAATTTGAAATTCTACACAAAATGAGCTGCAGCTACAAACTATTGTTGAAACAGTCATTACAATAGATTTTTTTTCACTGACAGATAGGACTCATAGTCAGTTATTTCGGTAATGATTTTCAGATGAACGGAATACTTCTGTTAAAAGATTTTATCATTTGATCATCTGCCTGAGTACAAGAAGCACAGTAAAGGGTAGTACACTGTGTACAAGTTATGTCAACAGAACTCAAGAATTGAGGAGCATTATGCAACTTGTTTTCATTCACAGAATCACAGAATAGCCAGGGTTGGAAGGGACCTCAAGGATCATGAATCTCCAACCTCCTCCCTCATGGAGGGCCACCAACGTCCCCATTCAATACTAGACCAGGCTGCCCAGGGCCCCATTCAATCTGGCCTTGAACACCTCCAGGGATGGGGCATCCACAACCTCTCTGGGCAGCCTGTTCCAGCACTCTCTCTGTAAAGAACTTTCCCCTGAGATCCAACCTAAATCTTCCCTCCCTCACCTTAAAACCATTTCCCCTTGTCCTGCAGTTATCAACCCTTTCAAAGAGTTGATTTCCCTCCTGCAACTTGTAGGCTCCCTCAGCCTGTCTTTGTAGTGGAGGTGCTCCAGTCCTATCTTTGTGGCTCTACTCTTGACCCTCTCCAACAACTCCCTGTCTTTTTTGTACTGGGGGCTCCAGACCTGGACGCAGTACTCCAGATAGGGCCTCACAAGAGCAGAGTAGAGACGGACAATCACCTCCCTGTCCCTGCTGTCCACTCCTCTTCTGATGGAGCACGGGATACCATTTGCTTTCCGAGCTGAATTAATGAATTATTAATATATCACAGTTAATAGAAACACTCAAAAACAATCAAACTATCCTCAGTTCATTTCTCATACCATTACCCAAATATACTATTATCAAAAATGTATCCATTTAAATTCACAAATAACAAATAACACACACAGTTATCGTGCTCTTCCACAATATACAGTTATCATCTCTTCCACAATGTTCTTGTGAAGGAATTGGCTGCCCATGGTTTGGATGGGCATACGCTCTGCTGGGTGAAACACTGGCTGAATGGCTGGGCCCAAAGAGTTGTGGTCAATGGGGTTAAATCCAGTTGGTGGCCAATCACGAGTACTGCGACCACTTCTATTTACCATCTTTATTAATGATCTTGATGAGGGGATTGAGAGCACCCTCAGTAAGTTTGAAGACAACACCAAGCTGAGAGGGAGTGTTGATCTGCCTGAGGGGAGAAGGGCACTATAGAGGGAGCTGGGTAGACTGTATTGATGGGCCAATGTAAACTGTTCGAGTTTCCATGGGGGCAAGTGTCGAGTCCTGCATTTTGGTCAAAACAACCCCAGGCAACCCTACAGGCCTAGGAAGGAGTAGCTGGAAAGCTGCCTGACAGAAAGAGACCTTGATGTATTGATGGACAGTTGGCTAAATATGAGCCAATGGCATCGTGGCTTATATCAAGAATGGTGAGATGAGCAGGACTAGGGAAGTGATCCTGCCCCTGTACTCGGCATTGGTGAGGCCCCACCTCAAGTACTGTATTCAGTTTTGGGCACCTCAGTACAGAAAGGACATTGAGGTGCTGGAGCATGTCCAAAGAAGAGCAACAAGGCTTAGAAGAGCTTGGAGAATATGTCCTACGAGGAGAGATTGAAGGAACTGGGACTTTTTAGTTTGGGGAAGAGGAGGCTGAGAGGAGACCTTATTGCTCTCTTCCAGTATCTGAAAGGTGCTTACAGCAAGAGCTCCACTGGAGACAGGACAAGGGAAATGGCCTCAAGTTGCACCAGGGTAAGTTTATGCCGGATATCAGGAAAAACTTCTCTACAATAAGGGTGGCTAAGCACTGGCATAGGCTCCCCAGGGAGGTGGTTGAGTCACTAACCCTGCATGTGTTCAAAAAACCATTTGGATGTGGTGCCCAGGGACATGATTTAGTGAAGGGTTGTTAGTTAGGGTAGTATGGTTAGGTTGTGGTCGGACTTGAATGATCTTGAAGGTCTTTTCCAACCTGAGCAATTCTATCGTTTTTTGATTCTATTTTTTTTCCATCTATAAAAAGCCTCTGAATACATGCTATTCCAGGGCTATCACTTTCCTTCTTTTAATACGTGTCAGAATTATAAATTTTGTTCATTTAAGTGTAAATAAAACTTGCTGACAGCTAATGAAAACCATTTTCCAACTTACTACAGGTAATTTCACTTTACCATTCACATTACCATTCACTGTATCTCTAATGAACTGCATTAGAAAATCATTATTTATTGAAAAATTTATTCATGGCTGTATAACTGAGAAGTATAACAAAAATGTACTAGAATCTCTTCATAGTCATAAGATGAATTTAGCTTCAATGTACAATATCTCCTCTGAAAAAATCCATTCCAGAAACATTTTACACAAAGCACAGACTAAGATACAAGATTAAAAGCACAGAAGTTTTCATCTGAATTCAGTGCATTCTGCTATATTTTACTTCAGTTTCAAATAGTTTCGTCAATATTTCAAAAGCAACACATTTTTCTAATTCTATTTTTTTTAGATTGTTCATCTGACCACTCCTCAGGGGGAAGAATAGGAGGAATTTAATATACTTAATCTTCAATAGTTTTCAGTTGGAAATATTTTGAGCACCCTATCTCTGATTTCCAAGCAGGCAGGTGTTATGCAGTATTTGACCACACGTACACTCCTAAAAAAAGGCCAGTGACAGTTGCAGCTAGAAAAGATTTCCACATGAACACTCATCTTATACATTAACAAAACAAAGTGCTCTCACACCCTGTCAGCCAAAATGCTTCAAAATGGCAAAAGCAGCCAAGTTTACATATATGTACTGACCACAAGTAAAGCATGCTTGTCTGCCTCCAAAGCTTTAGGAAAATGAATTGATTGCCTCCATTTCCAATTAATTATGGTAGTGCTCTTAATTTACCTGGATGGCACTTCCTGTTTTCTGTATGCACTGTAATGTCACCTTTGTCTAAAAGGAATTTTGCAATAAAAAAACTGGATGTTTTCTACCTTAAGAACCTTGCACTCTTTTACTAGCACTCATTTGCAATCTCATTAGTATGCATGAGATTTTCATTGAACTTTAAGACTCCTACTGGCACTTAAGGCACTATAATGAATGCAAAAGTGAGTATGCAAATTAAGACTACCATTAATCATTGAATGTTACCAGGAAAAAAATGCAAGACAGGGAGTAGATGAGCTTTATTGCAGCATGAAGCATGCAATCTCAGGAATCACCGTAGGCGTGTAAAATTGCTGATCTCCTCTTGGGAGCACTACTGACATGTCCTGAGGAAGTAAATTACATATTCTACAGTAGGTCAACATTCAGAATTAACATTACAGAAAGGTTATCTGTTGGCTGCATCCATATTGCCCAGGGAAAAGAAAAGCATACTTCCTTGCCTCGTACTAAAATATAAGAGGCTTAATCTAAGCAAAAATATGTAATCTTCAAATTGTGTGCATGGGTTACAATCATTAGAACAGCTTAGGTTGGAAGGGACTTTAACAATTATCCAGTTCCACATACTCCCTGCCATGGGCAGGGCTGCGCCCCACCAGCTCAGGCTGCCCAGTGCCCCATCAAACCTGACCTTGAATGCTTCCAGAGATGGGGCATCCACAGTTTCTATGCGGCACCTTCCAAGTAAAAAAATTCTAACATCTAACCTAAATCTTCCCTCTTTTAGTTTAAAGCCATTCCCTCTTCTCCTATCTCTACAGGACTGTGTATAAAGTTAGTCCACCCCTCCTGCTGGAAAGCTTCCTTCAAGTATTGGAAGGCTGCACTGAGGTCCCCTCTGGAGCCTTCTCTTCTCCAAGCTGAGCAAGCCCAGTTCCCTCAGTCCTTCCTTGTAAAAGAGGTGCTCCAGTACTCTGATCACCTTTGCAGCCCTCCTCTGGATCACTCTAACAACTCCATGTCTTTCCCATGCAGGGAGCCTCAGGCTTGGATGCCATAATGCAGATGGGACCTCAAGAGGGCAGAGCAGAGGGGGACAATCCCCTCCCTCACCGGCCACCTCTCTTTCAATGCATCCCAGAATGCAGCTGGCCTTCTGGGCTGCAGGCACACAAAGATGGCTCATGCACAGCTTTTCATTCACTAGGATTCTCAAGAACTTCTCTGCAGGATTACTTTCTAAATTCAAAATCATGGTATAAAAAGTGTACAGTCAGTTAATGCTAAAGAGAACACAAGGAATTACAATTCCATTTTTACAATATGGAGTATGTTTCAGTTCAACAAAAGCCTTAATAGACATTCAAGCCCTCTGAAGTATCCATGGGTCTGATTAACTTCAGAAATTAAAGCCGGCACAGCACTGTAAAACAATTATCTTTAAGAGGAAAACTCAGTGTAAACCTTTCAGCCATATACTCAGTAAACTTCCAGGACTATCATTCAAACATCCTCTCCCAAGTCTGAGAAACAGCTTGCACAGACTGAGCCTACTATGTGGACGCTTGGCACATTTATTTGCCTTATAGCTTCCTACTCAGTCTCACCCTATTTAATATTTATAACTTGATTAACACAATTCCCAAGTTCCCTTAGTTTACTAGCTGTACAGGCAGTATGCCTTAGAAATACAACAAGATTTATCCCAGTCCCTCTTCAAATTTCATTCAGTCTCTCATACTCCCTAAGCAACCCATGATTGATTCCACGCAAGTTTTTGGCCCTTAAATATTTCCAGGGACAGTACTATTGTTCATAAAGGTTACAGGACTTTCCTAGCTGTACAGTGTGATATAAGGAAATTGAGAGAAGTGCCAGGATGAGTGGCTTTACATGACATGGTCACTATGGATTAGATACTAGTGAAAAAGCTGTGCCTGGCAGAACCAAGCACAAGTGAAAGCAGCTCTGTAGAAAAAAAGAAGAGGAAACAAGGCAGCACAGATTTTAGCACAATTCTTCAAGTGGAAAGACTGAGAAGGCTTGGAAAGAGAATGCTAGTGCTGAAAGTGCAGGTAAAACTAAAGCAGAGACAATGTAAATGTCAGACCACTTGCATGCTATTTGGAGAGAAGGTTCCTGGAGATCTAAGAATGTGCCTGGCAGAGAAGATTTAGAAAACAAAAGCTACCCTCCAGAAAAGATCAAAGAATAAAGAAAGAAAAATAGTAAGAAATATTATACAGCCTTCTAATCTTATACAAATCTTTTAGTGTTGAGAGGAAACAGCAAGTGCCTCAGAGATCCTCCTGCAAAGCCTCAGAACATTTGCTGGAACAATCACAGTACACAACAGCATGAGCTATCAAGTGAACACCCACAGGAAAAATGCACTGGAAATTTTTCAAAAGTCTGGATAGAAGACTGAAAGTTAAGCACAGACCTTTAGAGCCTGGGAAGCATCCGATTTCCCCTTTCCTCATAAAGAAGAAAACTAAAAGGATAGAGTTAAATAGCTTTCAGCAAAGTGCATCTAAAATCCCTGTGTTAAACCATACCCACTCAGCTGACTGGCTTCTATAGTATCACTTGCACTCTCCAGTCTTTTCATAGAATCACAGAACAGTTTGAAGGGACCTCAAGGACAACTAAGCTCCAACCCTGCTGCCACATGCAGGGCCACCAACTTCCACATCTAATACTAGACCAGGCTGCCTAGGGCATTCTTTCCCATTTCTTACTCAGATTATTTTTCATTTCACAGGAGGCAGGAAAGAAGTAGAGAGAATTCCACATCAATAATTTACATGCCAAAATGTAGCAAATACACCATAATTTCCTGAATAGCCTCTTCAAATACACAATTACTATTAGTTTTGGCTACTAAAAACTACTCTAAAAACTATATATATTGTTTAAATTGACACTGAACAAAAACTAAAAAATTGGTTAGCCTTTTTTTGGTGGAATTCCTATGCGTCAAGGTTCTTTGCTTATACAGAGTTCATAAATCATACTTAAAGCCACTCCAGGCTAAATCTCCTACAACCTCAAGGAACAACATGCAATCCCATTCTCCTTTCTCTCTTCCAACGGCTGCTTAGTTAATCTTAAAAAATTCCTCTAGCTTCCCTGAATTTATCTGAAACTTTGGGACATAGAAAGAAAATTTTCTTATAACTGATGAGGAAAAAAAACCAAAACAACATTAATTGCTTTATGGGCTCTCCAACTTCCTACAAGACTATGCAAGGAAAAGTACTGGAAGCCAGATATGGCGATTAAAACAATGACTTTAAGAAAGCCCCATCACTGTGCCACCAATAATTGAGCCGACCTACAAACTGACACTGCAGTGAAGGCATAATTAGCAACTTAGTTTGGTTATTCTATCACATCCCCCCCAGGCACAAACATTTTCACATCTAATAGGAGAAAGTCATAATCAGGCAGATTTTATTTACATTTTTATTACGTACTCATTTCCTAAACATTACTTATTTGTAAAGGAGTCACTTTAAAAATTCATATCAAATCAGTTATAAAAAAGTAACTCAAAATGAAAAACAGGAGACAGCCTATTCACATAGCAAGACATTCCATTAAAAAAATGAATCTAAGCTCAATGACAAAGTTATCTTGAAATAAAACCAAAATATTCGAGATTTACCTTCCCATTCTGTTGGAAAGTCACCCATCTCGTACTGGTATGCTTGCCGATTTACTGCTTCTACAAACCTTCTTTCAGGTTTAATTTGCCCTACAGCAAAAAAGAAACAGTTATATATATATGCATATATATATATACACACACACACACACATACAATATTTAAAATACTAATTATGGTATTGTTTTGAAAGAACTCTGATACTAATTATAGTATTGTTTTGAAAGAACTCTTATTCACACAAATGTAGTAACATCTGGAAGATAAAAAATGAAGGATTTAAATAGTGAGAAAATGATTATCACCAAGATATCTATTTGAGATGCTATCTATTTCAGTAACTTCATCATAAATTTATCTGTTATGTTGCCCACTTGGATTATTAATGGCCCAAACTGTCTACCTCATTGTACGTCAAGACTAACACTCCTTTTGAAAACACTTCACTGAGGATCCATAAATCAAACCTGCATTTCCCTTCTTTCCCTTTGCTGGCAAGGGTCCGGAAACTTGAAAATGCTATAGAGGCAAAAAAATCAGCACAGCCTTCACCGGTGAGCTCTGCCAAATGTTCAAGCCATATCAGACCCATTGGTGGCAATGGCTCTGGGCACATGAGCCTTTCCACATGCTTAACAGCTAACTATTTACTGCATTAAAAAATGAAAAACATAAAGATCACTCTGATAGGAAATATTCAATACATCAAAAGAGGAGCCATTGTGGAGAAGCTGTATCTACAACCCACTCAGATTCTGCAACAGTCAGAAATGAAAAACTGAGGCTTGACTGGTGATACAGAACACAGCAGATGCATTGTCGGAGGAATACATAGTGTTTATTTAAGCTTTTAAAAATTTATTTAAAATATTTTAATCACTGCAGTCTTCACTTTTTGAAGTCCCAAAAACTTTTAAATCTAGTAGATAATACAAAATATGTAAAATTTCTCCATTCTTCACAGAGAAAAGACTTAATTCCCCAGCCTCTTTCTGCCAGGCCCTTGAGGCTGTTATGATTTGACATCCTGCAGAAATACTGAAATAAATATCCACCTAAAATATTTTTTTCATACTGACAGTCGTTGCAATTTACTCATCTCTGCATACTATTGCTCACTGTTAAGAACTTAGCTCAGCAAACAGTAAGAACTTCCACAGATATTGCTGATCCTGTATGAGTCTAGGAATTAACACTCTTCTTCATTACTGTAAAGTCACCACTTTATACTGCAAACGCAGCACCATTTACACAACTGTCCAGTATTTGAGTTCCACACAGAGATACAAGAACACAGTGATTAAACACCCGCAAGCATAAAGAAGTTTGTTTTTCCACTCCTAACACAAACTGTGATTGATGCTGGTAGTGAGAATTCATTGCACTGTAACTTGCGGTCAGATTGAATAGGATCATTCAAGGCTTCAGAATACTTGCAATATATGACAGGACGATCAAAGAAAAGATTATCAAGGCAGTTTCAATGTATTTGTAGGTGTTGGTGCCATATCTTGGGATTGCCCTCTAGATGTTAATCCCAGTCCCACAAGATGACTTGTTTATATCAATTCTGTAACTTTATTATTATTTTTAATACTAAGGACAATGTGGTTATTGGTCACAGCCAACATGTTCATGAAGACAAGGTCCTGTTAAACTAACTTAATTTCCTTTTACAACAAGGTCATCCATCTAGTTGACCAAGGGACACCAACTGATGCTATTTTCTTGGATTTCAGTACAGCTTTTGTCCTTCTGGACAAAATGTCCAGCATACAGCTAGACAGAAACATAATGTAATGGTTATATGAGGGTGGTAGTAAGTCACTAGCAGGGTTTCCCAGAGCTCCATTTTAGGGTCAGCCCTCTTTAATGCTTATGTATACCACTTGGACGTAGGACCAGAATGTGTTTTGAGCAAGTTTGCTGACTACGAAATTAGGAGGAGCTGCTGACTCCATCAAGGGTGGAGAGGTTTTGTAGAGAGATCTAGACAAATGAAAGATCTGAACAATCATCAGCTGCATGAAGTTTAACAAGTGCTGGATTAGGGGCAACCCTAACTATAGATATAGCCTGGGGGATGAGACACCGGAGAGCATGTTCAATGAAAGAGATTTGGGGTCTTGGTTAAGAGCAAGCTGAACATCAATTAACAGTGTGCCCAGATCACCAGGAAGGCCAGCAGTTCAGGTTGTGCTTCCAGGAAGAGTTTCCTAACCAGATGGTGAAACGGCACTAGAACAGGCTCTACAGGGCAGTGCTCACAGCACTGAAATGTTAGTGCTCAGGAAGCATTTGCATGATGCTCACAGATACATGGTCTGATTTCTTTAGTAGTAGTGTGGAGTCAGAAGATTAGCCTAGCCTTATGGGTTCCCTCTTACTCAGGACATTCTATGATTCTAATACGTGATTACACACATTATATAAATTCCTAGGGCAGAGAAAAGGTTGAAACCATATTGCTTCTTATCTTTGATGTTTATTCTATTGAAGCAAAAACAAACAAATAAAAACAAACAAACAAAAAACCACCCACAAAATATCCAAAAGATGGAAAAAAACCCACAAAAACACCACACTATTATCAAAGAAAGGCAGCTGTTGAGCAGTAAGAAAGAAACAATCTCTGCCTCTGCTAAACAGAGTATTTTGTCAGAGCATTTAGGGCTAAATGGATTGTAAACCAAATGAGGATACTTGTTCTGAGACATGACAAATTTCTTTCAAGCAGCTAGATTAAAACCACTCCTAAATAAAATGTGAGATAAGCAAAACAGAGTTCTCTGGATCCAGATGTTCTACAGCATCTTCTTTAGAGTCAAAAAGGTGAAGAAATACAAAACAAAACAAAAAGTAATAAAGAAAACACCACCCCAAATCACAGCCCTAGCCCAAGTTGAAACTAAGCCCAAATTGCATGTTTCCACTGCATTGTAACATCACATTTCAAGTCTGCAGGGGCTTTCTGCTTGAGTACGTCTGCAACATCTAAACAGAATGTATCACTCAACAGGCACACTTTGAGTAAGAGCCCAGAGCAGCACAGAAGCCATCAGTAGGTATGGTAAACTCCGCAGAAAGAGAACTAGAAGGCGTAATTTGAAGCGTGAATAACCATACTTAACATTTGGTGTAACTACTTTACATTAATGTCCTGAAAGCTGAAGAATCAGCAAAGGAGCAATTCTGATGCTGATGATTCTTCATTCTTAAATAAATGGTCAAGAGCTGTAGATAGCAAAATATCTGCTCTAACAGAAGTGTCCGGACATTAAAATTTGTCTAGAAATATCTCATCATTTTATTCACCTGACTGTCAAACAGCTTATGGTGAAAGAGAAGACTCACAGGTCCTATGCATGCTTGCAGTCTCCAAAGAGCTTGACAAACAGTAAATGTTGCTGCAACTGCAGAGAAAGTACTTGGGACTTCAGACTGAAAATTCTCTAGGAAAGAAACCTGCTTTGATGCTCATTTCAGACTTTACGCAAGCACATGCAGGCCATCCTCTGCTTTTTGGTCATTGCAAGACATTCAAACTGGTCGAATGGGTACAAGAATGATGCTCTTCTCTCTAACATTAAATAGTTCACTTTAATAAAATCACAATGCTGCAAACAATTATGAGCTTCTGTGTAGCCAACTTGTGCTCACTTACTTTTATGTCAAAGATGTGAATGACAGCATCCTGTGCTGTAATTCCTGGAAAGAAAATCTAATAGTCTAAAAAGGATGTACTTATAGCTCTACTAGAGCTAACAGCCCATGGATTTTACATGTATTTATGCAAACTTTATGTTTCAAAAGCTTGCTGTACTCTCCAGACAGTGTCAGTTTAAAAATGCTTTTTATTGCAGTCTGACTGAGAAACAAACTCTCTCAGTGGTTGCTGAGATTTAAAAAGCTCTGCAAAATGCTCTGGTGCCTAGTCCCCAGCAAGATGTATCAAACATGGTCCCTATTTTTAGCTCATCGAAAAGCCCTGCAAATTGTACCTCATGAAAGCAACACAAAGCCCCAGACAGATAATACACCTTTACAAAGAACCTCTGTTTTGTAAATTAATCTACAATACACTTACTGGAAACATGCAATATCACAATTCTTTTTCCAACAAAGGTGCAAATAAAGCCAGTATAAGCATAATTTCTGGAATAGCTGGTGGATGTCTTGTGCTCTGGCATGTAGAAGCTTATTCCCAACTGTTCTTTCAGTTTGTTTTGGTCTATCAGATTCAAGAAATTGTTTTCTACCAATTACTGCCAAAATGTGAAAAGAATCCAGGAACAAAGTACCAAACATTTTCTGTAACTGCATGAAAACCTATTTAAAACAGGGATTTAGCATGTATAAAAGGGAATTTAGCAAGTAGACATGAAATGGTACAATCACTTGTATTTCATAAATAAAAACAATGCATGAAGATAAACAAAACAGCCGTCAAGCAGGGAATAGAAATGGGCAAGTGACAGCAAGGGTATGAATTGTAAATGAAATGAAAAGAAAGTTACAGCTGTGGAGAACACCAATTAAACAATACAACCCCACAAAGCAGTGCTACATTCTGGTTTGAATGATTAATTATGTTTCAATTATACATCATTCACAAACTCTCATTTGCCGTTTCTTTTTTTCTTTTACAGTATAAATCAAATTACTACAGCCAGCTGCACTAAAGGAGCTAATGCTATTATTATTTTTTTTAATAAATTTTAATCAATTTTACAAAAGGATTTCAGGTTTGAGATTGGCCAAGAACATTTAGTCATATACAAGGACTGAATAGAATTACGGCTAATACTGTGCACTGTACTTTGAAGATCAGAGAATACCAGTATGCTATCTTGTTTGCTTTTCTCTGCAGAGCATAGAGAAGTAAAAATAAGAGCACAACTTCTGAAGTAAAGAGCAAGAATTATATGTTATTCATTCTGTCATGAAAGTTGTGAAATTAAACTTCACAGCTGTGCTTGCACTATTTGGTACAGCCTGAGACAGAACATTCGAGAGCAAAAGAAAGGCATCAATAAAGTCCAATGTCCAGAGACAGGAAAACAAAACAAAGATGCAGATACATCAACATC